TCTTCTAGAGGAGTCGTTGGGAATGAGAATAATGTTGAGCAGGCAGCATAATGAACCATGACATGTCATAAAGATAATAGATTTCCTTCCTCCCCACTGAGGGTTTTTCCACTTTATTTTTTTTGATCAGGTTCACATAACCAGCTGTGTTTGCTTTATTGTTTTTATTTGCTTTATTGCTTTTATTGTTTATTGTTGCAGGTTCCACGATTACTGCCGAAATCCAAGGGGTGATAGATGCTTGTGTCAAGCTGACTGGGATGCCAGACCTTACCCTCTCCTTTATGGTAAAGCTCAAGGATGTATCTCTACTGAAGTAATTTGAAAAGCATTTCCCAGCCCTGCTGCTGAGATCTGTCTTACACTGACAGATTCCAGCACATCAGAATCTGTGACTTAAGTTTTTGAGTCTTTAGTGGTGCTTTAGGCAGATATGAAGGGCCATCTTTTTCATGAGTATGTATCAGTGCAATTATTCAACATGATTAAATTTTCTAAAATAGGATAAAAAATGCACTAAGAAAGGACAGAGGTTACTGAGTGCTGCTTTCCCACGGATACAGCAGCATCAAGCAGTTTCCCATGTCTGAATGCAGGCACCTTCAGGTGGTCAGAGTGTGTCACGTGGTGGGCCCTTCAGGACAGAAGATGGAGAGGCAGAGGAGGTCCTTTGAGGCGGAACTGCCTTCACAAAGCTCGTGACTTTGTCTTTGCTGCAGAACCCTCGGCTGCTGGACGATGTCAGCTTCCACCCCTGTGTGCGTTTCAAGCGCTGGGAGTCGGAAAGAATTCTCTCTTTCATTCCACCCGATGGAAATTTTCGCTTGCTCTCCTACCATGTCAGTGCTCAGAAGTAGGTGATGAATGTAGTGCTGTGAGTTGTGAAATTTGGATCTTTCTGGCCAGGGAGAGGATGAAAAAAAGGGAACTTTTAAAGATCAGGTGGTGTGTTGTGCCAAATAAAGTAGAGGGGCACAATAACTTGCATTTTTCCTTTTTTAAAACACATTTTCTCCTTGTTTGGAGCAGTGATTCTGTAATTTCTTTTTGGTCAGCCAGCATTTTTCAAAGACTAGTAGCAGATAAATAAAGTAGAGAGGGAAAGAATTAGGCAGTGGGGAGTAATCAAGCTGTTGATTTCCTGTGCTTATAAAAAACTTTTATTCTAAAACAAGATGAAGAGAATTGTAATTAAGACTTGAGAATGGGATTCTGACTTTGCCCTTAGATCAAACAAATGGGTGTAGGATTTCCTTCTCTTTTAGGGAGATTGGTTCCCAATGTTTTCAGTGCATTGGGAAAAGCAAATACGAAGGTGAGAGGTGGACAAGGGCTTTCCGTTTCTGTCTCTATTCCAGTCTTGTGGCAATTCCTGTCTACGTGAAGCACAACATCAGTTTCCGTGACAGCAGCTCCCTGGGGCGGTTTGAGATCACTGTGGGGCCAAAGCAGACCATGGGCAAGACCGTGGAGGGAGTGATGGTCACCAGCCAGATGCCAAAAAGTGTGTTAAATATGACCCTTACACCCTCTCAGGGAACACATGTCTTTGATCCAGTTACAAAGGTGAGAGCCAAGGTAGAAATTAGATACTTTTTTTTTTTTTTTAGTTTTTAAGAAAATGCAGTCGAGCTGTTCCTGCCTCCGTGGACATTTCCAGGAGTGCCTTACAAACTTCTGCACACCTACTTGTCATGCCTAGTGCTGCATGTTGGGCTTGGTCCTTGGCCAACGCTGAGGGTTGGTTGATGGGTTTTGATTTGGTCTGGGGTGTTCTGTTTTTGTGGTTTGGGTTAATTTAAATTTAAATCTGATGGGCTTGTCCATGGGGCCTTTAGCACAAGTAGTGGCAATATCATTCCTGGAAGGCTTTTGGGAGGTATCTGCTCCTTCAGCCTGTGTCTGTCCAATATGAAAGGTGAGTTACTAAGAAAAAGACATTTTTCACACCCTTTAGAGGGTGTTACAGCATTTCTGTTTCACTGCTGAATTTTCTGTTCCTTTCAGCTACTGTCATGGGATGTGGGGAAAATAAACCCCCAGAAGCTGCCAAGCCTGAAGGGTAGTGTGAGCCTGCAAGCTGGGACATCAAAGCCAGATGAAAACCCCACCATTAATCTGCAGTTTAAAATTCAGCAGCTGGCTATCTCTGGTAAGTGACTGTCAAGTAAAGGAGGGGATGCTCTCTGCTGCACCAGTGCTCATTCTGCATGTAGCTGAAGTAGCTTTGCAGGCCTTCTAAAGTACCTCCTACCTGAAACATGTTCTACAAGCAAAAAATTGTCTGCTTTGACTACAGGTACATGGATTTGTTCTTTCTGGTGCTCTGGAAAGCAGTTTATCTACATTTCCTTGCATTTGGTGCTAACAGAGCTATAAAGAATTTTAGGGTATGGTTTTGTTGTAAAGAATTGTAAAGAATGATTCTGACATTAGGCAGTTGTCAGCTTTTCTCTGTCCTGTTCACTGCTTGTTAAAACTTGCCCTGTGCTTTCTGCCCCTCTAGTGTCACCTTCTGTCCCTTTCTCCTGAAGGCCTGTCTGCTCTGTTTGTGGCAGCATCAGTCTCATGCTGTGTTTGTTTGCCTTTAGGACTGAAGGTGAATCGCTTGGACATGTATGGGGAGAAGTACAAGCCGTTCAAGGGGATAAAATACATGACTAAGGCTGGCAAGTTCCAAGTGCGAACCTAGAGGATCCTGACAGTGAGGAAGAGCACTTCTCCTGTTTCCCCTGTCCCTGGCTGTTGGAGGCAGCCTCTTTCCCCATCCATCTCTTTAGGGTTGCTCCCTTGCCTGTAGTAGCATGAGCAGGAAAGCAAGTGCTAAGACTGCTGGAAAGCAGAGAAAGGTAAGGTTGACCCGAAACCACCTCATCTCTAGCTGAGTCCTGAAGTCTTTGGAGTAATAGTGGATGGGAGAGGTGTTCAGGTCCCTTGGGATCAGTGAGTCAACTGTGTAAGCTTGTATCACCTTCATTTTGCTGTCTTAGAGGAAATTCCCGGTATTTATTGCCTTTTGTATCTCCTCCTCTTTGTATTTTGGTTGGCTTTTATCCCTTTGTAGACAATCCAAAGTTGAATTTCCACAAACTTCAGCTCCAGTATGATGATCATCACCTGCCCTTCTCCATCACTGTGTGTTAGGATGGAGAGCTGTATAGTTCTTGGCAGCAGGGAAATCATCTTGTCTCTCTGCCTCAAAGGGGCTGGAGAAAGTGGAAGGGTAGATTGTTCCACCTAGGATAGCTGAGAAGCCTGAGATCGGGAATGGTGCCACAGAGGGAGGAAGGGAAGAAGTGGATGCTTCTTCTAAATACTTCATAAGCCATCTTGGTCATTAAGTATCTTAAATCTCTGAACAATGCATTCAAATCTTGTAACTGATGTGTGGTGACTGCTCATGTTATTTCATCAGTATTTGAAGGTAGGAATTCTCCCAGCTGCTTGGGAGACTGAGAAGAGACAGGGAGGGGAATTTTTGTGAAGACACAGCAGTGCTGGAAATTGCAGCTGTGAGTAAATGAAGATAATCACTGTCCTAGTAACTTGTTGGAATCTCTTTCTGCCACTGCTTTCCTACTGCAAATGAAGGCAATACTGCTGTTCTCCTGCTCACTGATGTCCTCCTTTGATGTAATTGTGACCTGGTACCTTCGTAGTGTTCCTGCCTGTCCTACCTCATTCCAGTTCTGTACCAGTCAGGTGCTGTGCAGTGGATTCAAGGATTGCTCCCTGGGACCACCTCCTCTGCAGGAGCTGTTGCTCCATCTGCCCATCCCAGCCTGTGTTTCCTCCCTCTGTAGAACAGAAATAGGAGATGGGAGGCACCTGCACTGCTGGTATTGTCTGTAACAGGCTCTTTGGCCACCACGTGCCAGTGTGTTGTCTCTGTGGGAGCAGAACTTGTCCCTGAGCTGCTGTACCTGTGACCACACACGTGTGGCTGTGGAGTCCAGCACGTACAGCCCCTAAAGGAGGGATGGATCCATTGTGGTGGGTGTGTGATGGAGACTTGCAGTGGGTGAGTGGCATCTTGCTTGTGGAGCTGCAGGTTCCCAGGCTCCAGAGGATGCCACAGCAGGTGGCACCTGCTGAGGTGACATTACTGCTGAGCATGTTCAGTGCAAATAAAACCTTCAACGAGGGCATCAATAAAATTAATTTTTACATGTCATCTGTGTCATTTCAGTGTGGTTTGTGCAGGCTTTACAAGAAATATGGTTGGTGTTTGAGGAGGAAGGTAAACTATGCCAATTGGATTGTGAATAGTGGGTGCCTTAGGGAGATAAATGTCTTTATGCATTTGGGATTGTAAGCCAGGGACCAAGTCACTGTCTGACAAGCTAAAATTCATTACTTTCTTGGTAATTTTTCTTAGTGTTTCCCAGGATTGCTGAACATTTCCTGGAATCTCAGTGAAAATGTCTTTACGAGTGCAGCTGAACCGTTTTTGTTGACTGGGTAGGGTAGCAGGCTCAGGATAGTGCTTTGATTATGAAGACAATGAAATACCTCACCACCTTGCTGCTCCTCAAGTACTGTCCTTTGGCTTTGTAGCTTTGCTTTTTAAAGGATCTTTTCTTCCCTGCAGAAGTGATTCACGTTACTCAAGGTCTTGAAAGGTTTGTTATGTACACAAAGGCATCTGGCCCTTGTGTCAGGCTTTCTGTACCAGTCTGAGACGGCTGCAAGGTCCTGTGGGATAAAAGATGAAGCAGGGCAGAAGGGGGAATTGGGGAGCAGCATGAATGACATGAGTTGGTAGATAGGACTTCTGAGGAGGAAACATGAGGTGTAGCTGTGTACCTCAGTCACCATAAATGCTGGTGCTGACTCGAGTTCTGAAAGACCTTGAATATGACAATAGCAACTGCAAAGTCAGAGGAAAGTAAGCAAGCAGATGGCAGTGGCTATTCTTAGACCTTGTCTAAAGATGGTGCTACTGTGTCCTGGAAGAGGACAAGCAGGGATAAAAACAGGATAAGAAGTGGAAAAGTTGATGTTGTAAAGATGAAAACATTTTATTAGTGGCTGTTAGATCACATTGAGTTCAAATATTGTATTTAATAGACTGTTTGAATTACGAAACAAGTGTTCCTGAGGACACTTAACTTGTGTTACTCAGTGGAACAGTTTTGACTGTTTTACAGGCTGCAGGTATTTGGCAGGCTTGGGAATGCCAGGAGAGTGAGGCACAAGAGCACTTGGAAATGGGTTTAGGGGAGATGAATGGAAATAAATTTGTATTTTTCTCAACATTAATACTTAGTAAAATTATCAACAATTAAAAAAAAATTACACCAAAACCCTGAACTGATTCTACACTAAAAAACATCTTGGGTTTTTTTTTCCCTTCCACAGGCTGGAATATGGGAGCTGCTGTTGAACTGACTCAGTATAGTGTTTTCCTTTTGTAAAACAGTAGTTACACCTGCTTTCTCTTTATAAAGCAGTTGGACAAAAGATTGGCTCCTGGGATGTGCACAGATGCCACTCAGTGTCACATGGCAGCTGCAGTGCGAGGCAGTAAAGCTGATTACTGAGGGTCTGGTTCATGCAGATTGGCTGTACCTGCCCTGTCTTCTGTTAAAGGACAAAGGCAGCCTTGTGACATGTGATTTGGCCTTTTACTTGTGGATGTAAATCTAGCAGGCACTTAAAACTGCCACCATTACACTTGTCCTTTGTTCTGCCCCACTGCACTGAAAAAAGAACTTTTACTTTCATATCAGATGATAATGCATAGAAATTTAATAGTCAAAAAGTATGCACTGATTCTGTGGCAGATCAGGCTGATGTTAATATTTTTACTTATTCCTTTACCAGGAGAAAAAGCACGTGGAAGAATAGAATGTTCTAATAAGCATGCCATCCTGGATTTGCTCAGAGAGTTTAAGCTCAGACTCGGTTAATTAATTAGTTCCAAACTGAAAAAATAAGTAGTACATTGATCTGGAAATATGCCAACAGCATTGTTCTTTCTATTGCAGTCAAGCTGAAACCAGCTTAAATTACTCAAGTCAAATGTTATAAGGACAGAGCTTAAGTCTGACTAGAATGTTTTCCAATTTTACAGCCAAGTAAGAAGGGAAATGAACTTTCAGGAAATTAGATCTGTCCTCTTTGCCTTCAGTTTACAGCCATTTCCCAAACAACATATCTGCTTCAGGGATACATGATGTTCTTCTCTCTTGGTTTACTCTTTTGGCCCAAAATTGATTTTAAATTGTACTCATGATTTGATGCAAGTAGAAAGCTTGGGGATGTTGGGGGGAAAGGAGGATTAGTTTCTGGTAACCTGTAATATGGAAAGGAGGGTGATTTGGGAATGTGCCCTTCTCACGCACTGCAGTTTGTCTTCCCTTTGTACTGAAAGTCACGATCCTGTGGACAAACAGGAAGCCCTGTCAGCATCCTTAAGGCACCAGAGGGAAGTTGTGAGGGCACGACCACGAGACTGCCAAGAGTTCATGTTTCTTTCTCAGGGTTTTGTGGTGTCCTGAATCCAGCCAAGGTAACGACTCACGTTTGTGTAAACACCAGGCATGTCCTTGCGGCCACAGCCGATCCCCCAGCTGATGATTCCGATCACGTGCATGCGCTCATCCTTCATACACACCAGGGGCCCTCCAGAGTCGCCCTGCAGAGAAGCAGAAGATTAGTAACAATTTCCTTTTCTGTTTGTTTGTTTCTGTGTTGGTTTTTCACTCCCATTGTCTTTGGTGGTGCACTAGTGTTTGCAGAAATGTCCTCTGTAGCGTGCTCACAAATCAAGAGCTCTCAGGAACAGCACTTTTACATAAATCTCTCCTGTGTTCCAGACTCCCTCAATGCTCCTCGGGATGGGGGGGGGAGACCCAAAGGAGATGTAAACTAAAGTGTCTAACTTTGTATGGTACTTGTTTATGAAAAGTAGGTGAGATGTTGATAAGAAGAGGAAGGCTGTGTGTCACAGTGAAGCAAAATTATTGAAGAGCTGTTCAAACAGAACAGCTGTGGAGGGAATGCACACCCTCCCTTTTCCTCATGTCATAGCTGTTCCTTCTCCACCATCTTGCAGCCTTTATTTTTCTTTTCTCTACTTTTCAGTAGAGAGGCACCCCCTTCCTCCTCCAGAACCTCCTGCTGAGTGTTTTGCATGCTCACATAACAGAAAATATTAGGAAATGCTGGGGTGGATTTTCCTGTTCAGTTTTGTGGAATTTCCTGTATTTGGGATTTTCAGCCTGTGTTGCTCTGGTTTGATTGGTCAGGTGTGCCCAGCCTTCCCATCTACAAGGGGCAGGGGAAGGAAAAAGAGGAGCCAGCAGTTCTGTTCTGTTCAACAAAAGTCGCCTGGAACTGCCACGTAGGCAGAGGCACAACTTCTTTGAGCGACTTTCTGAAGTGTTTTGTTTGGTTAGCTCAGACTACCAGGGACAGAGAAAAGAAAGGGGCAAGGGAAAGAGAAGAGGAGGGTTTACCTTGCAGGCATCATCAAGGTGCCTCGTGTCTCCTGCACAGAGCATGTTGTCTGTGACTGTGCGGTTGTCCAGGTGCTGTGCCGTGCAGCGGCTGGCCGGGAACAGCCTGACATGGCCTTCCTTCAGCTGCTCTGAATAGAACGGAGAAACTGGAAGGAAAACAACAATACACTTACCTATGTCTGTGTATGCACATACATGTTTTAAAAACATTGCCGTTTGGTTTCTGCAGCCTAGAGGAGCGTAAACAGAAGTAGCTCAGTGGCTAAACAAACATTTTCCTGCCAGAGGGTCTTTGGGTGTTCCACTTGGCCAGTGAGAACAGCTTAAATCTAAATGAGAGAGAATATTGTTTCTTCAGGAGGCTTTAGTAAGTTAAAGAGGTTTTTCTAGGCTCCAAATTAAAGACTGCTGGGTGGATAAGTCATCTTTACACAGTTACATCAATCGAAATGAAGTCACAGGAACTGCCTATGAAAATGCCTGAACTGTATGAAACAGGGTCCTAACTTTTTAATATTAGACTTGCACTAACAAAAATCAGATGCCTTGTCGTACACAACACTGAGTAACTGGATAGGAATTTACACTTATTTTGGAATGGAAGAGATTTGGTTGGTTGGTTGGTTTGGATACTGGGTTTATGTACAGCTGCAATTGCACAAAACTGAAAGTTGGCAAGATTGTTGTTATTCAGTCTAGTTTTGAGTTACAGTTGCAGCATCCTTCCCTCTCAAAGAGTTTATCCTGTACTCCCTGTAAACAGTGCTGAGGACAAGCTTTAAAAGCTCTTTAAAAATCTGCACCTGTATGGTAGGTACATCAAACCTTGGCAGGAATGGATTTCTGTCCAAACTACAATATCTGAAAGTACTGAGTACAGCAGAAATGTGGCAGCTGTGACTGCAAATCTGCTGTCTTTCCTACCTTATCCATTGTGCCAGGTTTTTGGTTTTGTACTGTGGAGAGTATCAAGGAAGACTCTACTGGCCCATACAGCTGAGAGAACTCGGATGAATGAAATAACTTACAGCAAAACTGGTTTTTGAGTAACTCCTACTTACACATCCATTTTGTGGTGCTCATATAAGCCAATATGATACATTAGACATTCAGTAACACTAAAGGCTTGAGTTCTTGGAGGGCAGGGGACTCAAGCTTTGGACAGACTTGCGTGTAGACATGTATCTTCTACTTACATTCCTCATTTTTGCCATAGCCAGAGATCTCACACTCGGTCCAGTCAGGCAGCTGCAGCTCTGGCGTGGGGAGGCAGGCAGCTCGCACAGTGTCTGTCTCAACAGCACAGGTTTCTGCATCTGAGCTCAGCTGCAGCAGAGCTGAGGAGGGAGAAAACGATCCTCACTTCATTAACCACTATTAAACTGGAGCCAACCGTGAGCTTTCCAGCCACAAGGTCAGAAAAGTTCTTACCAATGTCATTGTTGAAATTTTCTGGGTCAAATCTCCGATGGACAATGTAGTTCTTCACTTGAAACGTTTGTTCGTTTTCCTCGGGAGTGGTTCGGGAAGTCCTACCCAGCACAATCTTCAGCTGATTTGTACTAAAGCTGGAGAACAAGAGAGTCTCTGTTCTCATGTTAACTAGAGGGGACCCTTCCCTTCAAGATGAGTTGTTTGAACTTCTGCTTTTCTCATTTTAGCACTATTACTACTTTGTTACCCAGGCAGCTTGACCTCAGGTGACCTATTTGGCTTCATTTCTGTGCTATTTGCTTACAACCATCATGGCAAAGCTCCTCTGCCAGCCCCTTGCTGTTCTCAAGTTTCAGATGGCTCTGCGTGTGTATTGACAACTTTGTTCTTCTGCTATTTGATATTCTGCTGTGGTACCTTAGAGCCATGCTGCTAGTTTGCACAATAAATGCCTCTCTGTAATGCTCAGCACAATTAACCATAATCTTGAGTGCAGACTGGCTTACTGGGATAAAGAGGGTTTTCTCCAAGGCTAAACTGGATGCTTCCATTTTCCAGGTTATTTTTTTCCCCCAGATAGTGCTGAATCCTCAACTTACCCTTCCTCAAAACAGTGAGCAGCTGACAGAACCCAGCAGGAGCTGATGAGAGTCCCTCCACAGAGGAAGTGCTCCCCGGGCAGCCGGCGGTAGGTGACGAAGATGGCAGCCTGCCAGGGGTGGGCTGCGATGTCTGCGGAGGAGCCTCCTCTGATCCTGAACTGCGGGGCCCTGCGCTGCCGTAAGCCACAGGTGGCTGGGGATGACAGACCCAGAAATAGGCTTTTTGTGCAGGCACTCCGGCTCCAAGTTTGGGTTAAGAGCCTGTTAGTCACCAGAGCGTGTTCAGGCAGCCTGCTGTGAACTGTTTAGTATCTGACTCACTCCTGTTTCCTAGGAAACTTGTGTTCGGATTTGAAAAATACAGTAAGGAAACCCTGCCTTTCCTGTCCTCCATTTCTGCAGTCTTCCCTTCTGGCAGAAGGAAAGGCACTTCTGCGAGAGTGGAGCTACAGAATCTCTTCCTACTCCAAAAACCTTTTTTTTTTTTTTCCCTCCAGCTCTTATTTTACTGTAAGAGGCTTGAGTTTAATACAGATGGCATGCAGGACTGTAATGCCTCAAGGAAAGAGAAGAATCAGGAGTGTTAGTATCCTTACAGCAAGTAGGCACATTGCAGTACTCCCATGTGAGCTGATTTCCTTTCAGGACATGGCACCAGGGCTTGCTGTCATTGTCAGGATTCCTGCAGCACAGGAAAGAGAAGAGCTCTTTGTATTATCAGATCTGTAGGGAGTTTGTGGAGATCTTAAGGTGGCAGATTGCAACCCCAGTGTATTCTTTTTGATTTTTCTAGAGATACAGAGGGCCCTGAGGGCACATGGAATTTGCATATATGGAGTCTGATGTTAGAGAAGCAGAGATAGGCCAGGCAGAACAAAATTACTATTGCAAGTGAGCTTCATTTCCAGCAGGAATGTATTTATTTCCTGTGCTTTAATAAGCCAGGTACAGACTAAACCCCCTCCTTAAGAGTACCACGAGACAGTTTGGTGGGATTTTGTTTATTCTATACCCGATACATACCTGCAGAAATTGTGACTACCAAGGCCCAGCTGGTAAGCATCTGTTCTCCAAGCAGTAAATCGCTTGTTGAAAAGGATTCCAGAATTCCACTTCAGACAGGTAGCTCCAGAACTGGTAACACTGTGGCTGCCTCGGTAGTCTGTGCCTCTCCCAGATCTGCAGCTGGTGCTCGTAACTTCAACGAGAAAGCTGCACATTAACCCCCAGATGGAACCCTTCAGTCATTCCTAAGTGTGGTTTTTGTCAAGGCATCTCTCTATTAACCAGACACATCTCAGTCTCTTGGGTGTCATATGCATTAAAAGCTTACATATAATTTAACATGAGAGTCTCAGCTTTTCAGGCTACAGAAACAGCACGAGTCTACAGCGAGCCCTTATACATGCAGTGAATAATGGAAACTCCAAAGTCCTTTCCCTGTCCCCCTGCACGTACCTTTTGAACAGGAGGGCACACTGCAGTGTTCCCAGGTGTACTTTCCCCTTTTATAGATATAGCACCAAGGTCTGGAGTCCTCATCTGGGTTTCTGAAAGTGATGATATTATGCATTGTTACAAAGCTGTTGTCAGCAGTCCCGTGTCTGCCATCTGGTTCAGTAGCTTCATCCTGCTCTGCAGTGAGGACATGGACTGACCCATCAGAAGTGTTTGGATTCCTGTTTTAACTGTGGAGTACATGGAGGTGGAGGTGAGATGGCCAGTAGCCAGCAGGGGTGGACAGCATGCTTGTGCAGTTTAGTTCATGTGCACAAAGCACGATATTTTTACAGTTTTGATCGGGACCTGGAGCTGCAGGAAACTGAATTTCAAACGGAGTTTTAGGCACTGAGAAAGGACAAGGGAAAGCCTGTGGGATGAGAGATATCTGCATCTTTTAGCCTGTCATAAGCATATATCTAGATAGATCTGAAGTTCAGATATGCCTCCAGAAGTTGCAATTGCTGCTCATGTGCTGGGCCATATCTGCACCTGCTTGGTATCAGACTACAGCAAACAGCTGTTGCTTTGCTCCAAGCTCTTTGAATGGGCTGATTCCTCTGATCTGTGGCCATCAGCCCCTCACCTGCAGTAGTTGTGATTGCCTAATCCCAGCTCAGCAGCATCTGCTCTTTGGCCATTGTATGTCAAGTCCATCAAGTCATTGCTATTCCAATTTAAACATTCAGTTCCACTCTCTGTCACGCTCCACGTACCCCTGTATGTTACTCCAGCATCTTTGTAGCATTTAACTTCAGTATCTGAACAAAAGGGAACAAAATGTTACTGGAAGGACAACATACCAACCCTGTTCCCCAGTCCCTGTTCTGTTTAAACTTGGCTCTCAGATGTCGTCTGGTAAGTCAGTGAAAACACCTTGTCAGGCAGACTGTAAGTGTATACAAAAGTGTCTTTAGCTACAAAACTTAGAGTTTTATTAAGAGATGCTGAGAACAGCCCAGGTGTCCTTAAAAGTTCTTTGTAGTATTAGTTTTAGAATAAAAAGAGGCAACTTAACAGAGAGCCTAGAATACAGCAGGAGCTTCTGGATGCCTCATCCTTCTGCACTGCCTAGCTCAACCCAGTCACTGTTCACAGGAACTGATGTGCTGTACTCACCTATTTCACACTGCTTCCCTGAGAAACCTTGGTGGCACTGGCAGATGAAGAGCTGTGGGGAATAATATGCCTGTGAACATTGGCCCCCATTGTAGCATTTATTTCTAGTGCAGGCTGTGGAATAAGCAAAAGCCAGGAAATACTGTTAGTTTTCACAGAAGCAAGAAGCTGGCAATGTATACACAGCTCTCCTTTCCTGTCAGTCTCCTTTAGCTTGTTCTGTTTTTCCCCACCTAACTGGTATTGCCATGTGCTTACAGGCTTTTTGTGCAGTGCTGACATTGTTCCATTCTCTCCACATATGCTACTAGGACGCTTGCCCAGCCCCTTGCACACTCCCACTCAGTCCTGCCTGAGTCAGAGTATATTGGTATTTTCATTTCTATCCTATTTCAAGCCAAATTTTCTGTGCAATAACTCTGGCCCTGACTGTGGAGTTCTTTAGGGTGATTAGATGGACAATCTCTCATCCCTCACCATTCCCTTTCTCTTTTCCTTTGTCATACTCACCTCTGACAGGCACCGTGTGGCAGCGACTCCGCCCGCTGTCACACCTACAGTACTCTATTCTGCTCCCTGAAAGCCTCAGCCAGGTCCACCTGTGCTGGAAAATTTCTCCAGATGAACTGTCTTTGCAAACGGCTGCAATTGGAGAAAGGAAATCCTCATTCAGAGATTCAGGGAAAAGACCTGGCTGAGTAAAAGGACTCCCTTCTATTTCCAGGAGAAGATATCTGTGAAGGGAGCACCTGTCTAACGGGCTGCCCTTTCCCTCCTCAGACCACAGCTGTCCCATCTCTCTCACTGCTGTGCTGCTGGAGTTACTATTCCACTACTGACCAGCCTTGTTTGCTCTGAAGAAGAGCAGTGGGAGGGGAAAACTTCACTGAGTTGTGGATGGTACTAATGGTCTGGTATTTTGCCTTCTGAATCTCTCGTTCAGATAACCATGACAAACAGCTTTCAGCAGCATCATTCCTGCAGCATCATTTGCTTCCCACGTTCATCATGCTTCAGGTCACAGGGTTGTGGTTTCCTGGCTTACCTCTGGGTCTGGCTCCCCGTCTGAAACGCGTGAGTAAGCCCTGCAAGCAAAGAAGGTTAATTCTGTGAGTAACTGCTCTCTTCAAGTAACTGAGAGAACAAGTGTCTACAGAGAGTCAGTCTTCTTCTTGAGGTCATGTGAATCAGGGAAGCCACTCCAGAGGCACAAAAATCTTACCTGGCACTGGCTAGTCACAACTGCTCCCACTCAGCAGGAGGAGACATGGGAGTTTGCCTTCCATTCTGAGTGTTTTCTACATCAGCTCCAAATCTCAAGTTATCTATAGAGACAAAAAATAAGATGTTGAGCAAAGGGGTTTTACAATGCAGTTCATAGTCTGTCCAAAGTTGGTTTGCATCACATGCCACATCCTTTCTTGCCCTTATGTCTGCTGTCCCTGTCCAGGCTAGCTCAGCTTATAGTGCTGCCACCTTTCCTGCTCCTTTCCACCTCTCCATGTGGGATGCCACTCCATCCACTGAAGGCTGCTGTCCCACTGTACTTAGAAAACTGATAACAGATGTTGCCAGATGTTTATTTTCAGTTTTGGGAAAGGTACAGCTTAGAGCAGTCCATTGGAATGTTCTGAATGATAAGCCCCATCAAACTGAAACCATATGGCTGTTTGAAAAACACCACATTCACAAGACTCCAAGCAGAAACCTGCAATGTGCTTTCTGGCAGGACTCCCCTAAACAGTGTGTGCCTTCTGATCGCAGCCTGTGCTTCCTCTCCGATCGAAAATACTACAGCAAGAAGTCCAAGACTTAGATGTGATGTTCTAACATTTTGATTTGGCACTTTCAAGTGCATTAGGACACAAAAGATATACAATATCCTAAATTTGTCTCTCTTTGCTGAAGAATCAGCAGCAAGAATACTTACAATCCTACCTATTAATTTATGATTAATAACAGCCCTTCTAAGCAGTGAGAGTGTGAGCATTATCTTACCAGTGTGGAATAATACCTTAAAAATGTAACAGACAGACCTCTGGTTTGGGGGGAAAGAGTTAAAAAAACCCCAAACAAACAAAAGATACTGTAGTCTTTAAAAGCATTGGAGGAAATGGATATTTCAAAATCTGGCTTTGTTTTGGGAATCATTCCCAGTACTCCTGCGGTTTTGGCCACATTTAAAGAGAAGCATGTTTAGGGAGAACTGAAGATGACCCCGCTCCTCCTCCTCTTTGTCCTTCCTGGTTATCCTGGTTTGGAACCTGGGGTGAGAGGCATAGTCTGATCTCCTCCTAGAAAGATCAGATAAACTTTTCTTTTTCAGCTAGTTCTCTGGGTCTCCTCACCATCAAGATATTTGCCCATAACTTCTCCTTTGGTTTAAGTTCTTTTGCTAATGTTCTTTGTGCAGGAGATTCCTCCTTGCTTAATGGGTCAGAGCCTGAGGCTGTTGGCCCTTTCAGGAAAGCTTCAGCTTTCTTGAAACAACTGAAAGTTAGCAGCTTTACCCACATTATGAATCTCGTCAAAAGCTGAAAGGCAATAGCTCAGTTAGGTAACTATCATGCTGATTCAGTGGGATTTATTAAATAATAATATTTAATAGTAGTTAATGACTTTGCCACTGATGTTGAAAACAGGAAATGCACTTTTTGAAACAGGTACAAAGTAGTACCTACCTTTTTGCTTTTTCTCTTCTGTATTCTGATTATTTCCTTTCCAGACCAGTCTGTTTTTGTGTTTTCTGTGTCTCTGCTCTGATTTCTCTGAACAGCTCCTGTCCTACTTACAGCTCCACTCGAGGGGGTGGAGACTCCCCGAGCTGTGCTGTCCACATCCCACCCCTTCCCGAGCATCTGGGGATGGTCCAGGCGGGCAGCTGCTGTCCGGAGTGTCGGGAGGGAGCGAGTGCAGGACGCGAGAGAAGCTGCTGTCCTCTGAGCAGAGATGTTTGGCAGAGCGACTCTGTCCTGCATGTGGAGCAAAGCATGCCCTGAACAGTGCCATGGGAGAAGAAACAGTCAGGGGAGCTCGTGAGTTAAATGAACAAAACTTCTAAGAAACTTTAGACAGAAATAAAGAACAGCATGTTGGGGACCAGAGAGTTAAACGTTCACTGCTGTTGCCCATCCTAGAAAATGAAGATCTACTCACCAGGATGTGGTCACGAGGTATTCAGTTATCAAAGTGTGGCAGACAAATCTGAGTTATCAGTTTAAGAGCTGATCTTAGGGCTGGGTTATGAAAATAGTCAGTGATGCAACTGTTAGAGTAGTGGATGTATACTAACTACTTGGAACTGATTCACTAACAACCAGGTTCCTACAGAATTTGCTGTGAGCACAGACATAAGAATTGGTGTTCTTATGAGGGACTTTGTCTTCAGGAAGTAATTGAGTGAAGTCCTCATTTGGGAAGCATGGCAATGGTTATTTTGCAAAATGGTAAAGATGGAACACTGGCTACTCTGTATGTTTAGTTCTTCTCTGTAAGGGAATCTATGTCAAGATTATCACATGTATTTCTCCAGGAGTCACAGTGCTGGTGGTAACACTGCTGCCATAAATCTGACTCAAGGGTAGCTGCATTTGACTGTTTCCAGAAGGGACTCCCAGTTGCTGAGAAAAAGGTGATTGAACACTGCTGAGTGAGCAGGGGCTAATTTATGTCCTTTTTATAAACAGCACCCATTTGCTACCGGACTTCTGGATTAAAGATGCTAATAGACTAATGGCCGTGGGGGGAAGAGCTCAGAAACTATCTCCTGACTTTTCACAGCTTAAGGACAACTGTAACTTCTCTCCAGAGCGCGGTGCCATTTATACTGCTTAACACATTTTAGGGAAGGCAGCGATAACAGCGTGTGCTCTCCCAAGCACCATCTACCGGCTCTCCTCTGAGCTGCCCGTGTGTCGGGGTGTTCTCAGCAACGACGCCGTTTAGTGTCAGTGACCAAGTGTGACACCGCGACACACCCCGCGGGCCCTTACCCCGAGGGCCCCGCTGTGCCCGGCGGGTCTCGGAGCGCACCTTCCCCTCCCTGGGGGCTGAAGCCGCTCACGGCCGGAGGGAGCAGCACCCGACCCTGCCGAACGGCCGGGACAGCCCGGGGGGCGCGGCGGGGAGCGCAGGCACACGGCGCGGCCCGGACCGGCGGGATTCGGCGATGTTTTCCCCTCACGGTGCCGGCTCCCCCTCAGCCCAGACCGGCGGGTTTGGGCAGTGTTTTCCCCTCACGGTGCCGTTCCCCCCAGCCCAGACCGGCGGGTTGGGCGGTGTTTTCCCCTCACGGTGCCGTTCCCCCTCAGCCCAGACCGGCGGGTTTGGGCGATGTTTTCCCCTCACGGTGCCGTTCCCCCCCAGCCCAGACCGGCGGGATTCGGCGATGTTTTCCCCTCACGGTGCCGTTCCCCAGCCCCGCTCCCCGCGGGGCGGCCCCGTGAGGGCGGGCGGGCTCGGCCGGAGCCGGAAGCGCGGCGCGCGCAGGAGCCGGGCCCGCCATGAGCCGCCCGCCCGCGCTGCAGGCTCCGACCTGCGGGCCCTGGGAGATGCGGGAGCGCCTCGGCACCGGCGGCTTCGGCAACGTCGTCCGCTGGCACAACAAGGTAGGCGGCGGGTCGGGTCCGCGGGGCGCCCCGGCGCGGGGCCCCGCGCTCAGCCGGCCCGCGCTGTGTCCCGCAGGAGACCGGCGAGCAGGTGGCCATCAAGCAGTGCCGGCAGGAGCTGAGCCCGCGCAACCGCGACCGCTGGGCGCTGGAGATACAGATCATGAAGAGGTGAGGGCGCCGGGGCTCCTCGCGGCCGGGCCGGGGCCCCGCCGTGCCCCGCGAGCGGATCTGGCGGGTGCTGAGGGAAGTGCCGGGAGAGGCCGTGTGGGGATCCCTTCCGGGAGGTGCCCGCTCCTCTCCGGGCGAGTGCGGGGGAGTCCGCGCTAAAGCGAAGCTGTCGCCAGGCTCCGGGGTCCCTGTCTTTGCACGGCTTGTTGTTGCTGTGCCTGCCGGGCAGATCCGCTGTGCGTACGCGTTGAAGGAATGCACTGTCTGCACGTGAAATGCAGTGAGTTAGGATGAGTCTGGGACCGTGAAGGATGGATGAATTGCAGACCTTTAGAATCCCGTAGCTGAGTTTCTAAAAGGATTAGCGACCACGTAGGACTTGGAGTGATGACCATGAGCATGTGAAATCGTGTAGCAGTTGCAGCACATGACGTGTGCTTGCCTTTTTTTCATTTCTCAGACTCAACCATCCCAATGTGGTGGCTGCCCGTGATGTCCCTGAAGGGATGCAGAAGCTTGCACCGAATGACTTGCCCTTGCTGGCCATGGAGTACTGCCAAGGCGGAGACCTCCGCAAGGTGAGGGCCCTGGGAAGGTGACCGAGGGCAGGATCAGCTTCTCATCTCATCCTAGGTGTTCTGTTGAAGTTTTCCCATAAAATCTTTGTTTTCACATCCTGACACTTCCTAATCATGGCGTCAACAGATGTTGGTGGGCCGGTCCTTGGTGTTACGTTCTGCTTTTGGAAATTTAGGTGCTTTTTGAAACTTTTTGTATTTGTTTTCCTGCAAGTGGCACTGTGAGGAGTTTGCACATAGAGGCACATGTGAGGGACGTGTGAGTGTGGCCAGTAGGGTAGGGTCCATCTGTAGGCTATACCCTTCCTCAAAGTGATTAACTCCTGTCTGTCAGGAGGAAAAATAACACAGGATAATTCTAATCCTAAGGTTTTTCTTTGCTATAATCTGCCTGTAGATAAAAGCCAGAGCTTAGACCTGAGATTTGAGCTGATACTGCCACGCACAGGGGAAATTACTAACAAAGATGGAGCAAGTAGAAGGGTGAGAATGGGATGACATCGACTTCTCTCACCCACTCTGTTATCCTCCCATGCCATTAGACCAAGACCTGAAGCTGTAATTGCTGCTACCAGAGGTCACAGACCATAGAGTTTTGTGCCTCTAGAGAATTTGATTGCTGTTACTTGGACTTCTTGCATCCCTGAGAATTTGTGGGACTCTGAGCCTCACTCAGGATGGAGGAGGGAAAGCTTACATTGCGTTGTTTACTTGCAGTACCTGAATCAGCTGGAGAATTGCTGTGGCTTGCGGGAGGAAGCCATTCTCATCTTGTTGTCTGATATTGGTAAGTGGCAGCAGTACCACCAGCTGTCTGAACTAGGGAAGCCCCTTTAGTGCCGAATCCACACTGCAATTATGCAGCAGTGACCTTAATAACTACATCTTAGTCTGACTTTTTATGATCATCTCTGAAAGGTCTAGGGAGGTTCCTGCTGACTTGAAACTAGCCAGCATCATTACAGTTTACAAGAAGGCTGGGAGGGAACACCCAGGGAGAAAACTCTGCTTGTGTCCAGAAGTGTTTGATGCTGACTTTCCTCTTGCAATGATGTGTTTCATTGTATGTTTCACTGTGTAAGATTTGACCCAAAAGCCATGCTTACAGTGGGTAGAATTGAATCCTTACTGAGCTCATGCTATGTACTGTTAATTATGCTCTTAGAAGTGGCTTTTTCTGTGTCTCAGCTTCTGCTCTCAGGTACCTTCATGAGAACAGGATCATCCACAGAGACTTGAAACCAGAGAACATTGTGCTGCAGCAAGGAGAGCAGAGGGTAAGCAGAAACCAGGTGTCTCTACCTGCACACACAAGTAAGTGTAATAGGAAGGTGCATGTGCTTCCTGCAGTTACATGGTCCCTCTGCAAGAGCACTCCACCCAGGGGGACAGCTTCTTCTCTTCCTTGGCACCTTTCCTGCATACCTTTGAAGAGCTGAACCTTTTCTTTCTGCTGTGTGATGTGCTTTTAACAGGACTTCAGTCTAGCGTTCTTATTCTCTGTTGTATGTTTCAGTTAATACACAAAATCATTGACCTGGGTTATGCTAAGGAACTGGATCAGGGTAGCCTGTGCACATCCTTTGTTGGGACTCTGCAGTACTTGGTAAGAAAGGAATTCAGCTAAAAGAGCAGCTCCTGCTTCTTAGTGGGGTAGAATAAACTGTTATCAACCTTTGGGCTGGGATGAGGAACTTGTGCTGGTATGGGGTGCATTTGGGGTGCTGCAGCGTGCAAAGGTGACCCTTTTTTGGCTGACCCTGCGTTTGCAGCGTCTGCCAGCTATGTCTGTTGTAAATAAGGAGCAGGAGGGCCAGTGACCTGTGCGGTTCACTCTGGGAGGGTCTCGAAGCTTGTGTTCTGTAACATCTTTAATCTTGTGTAGGAACGTTAGTGAGCTGTTAAGGGACAGAGGGAGCCAAGAGATGAGTGGCTTTGTCTTATGTGTGTAACTGTCTCAGGCTCCAGAGCTGCTGGAACAGCAGAAGTACACAGTGACAGTGGATTACTGGAGCTTTGGCACGCTGGCCTTTGAGTGCATTACAGGCTTCCGACCGTTCCTACCCAACTGGCAACCAGTGCAGTGGTGAGTGAGCCGGGCCGGGTGACAGGAGGGGACCCCATGTGTCTGTCCTGTTTACATCCCTTGATTCTTAGGATAATATCCCCATGTTCCTTGCCCTTATGGAGACTGACTCCCTTCACAGGAGTTTGACCTACCTGAGCAAGTTCAGCATTCCTGATACTTGCCCTCTGGGATAAGGTCTGACTCCTGCAGGGCAGGTAACAGAAACTAAAGTGGCATCTGTATTATATCTGTCAGGAGTAGCTTTAAGCTTTAAGAGCCTACTAACATGCAGGCTGGGAAAGGCAGGTGATTGTTTCACCGTTGTACTTGCCTGATTCCTTAGGCATACAAAAGTGCGTCAGAAGAGTGAGCTGGATATTGTTGTTTCAGAAGACTTATCTGGAGAAGTCAAGTTTTCCAGCAGTTTGCCCTGCCCAAACAATCTAAACAGGTGAGCACTGCAAATTGCCATGCTGGGATAAACTGATTCTTCTGCACAAGGACCAGGTTTATATTATACACCGTGTTAATCTGTGGATAAATTCAGTGCGTGACACAGTGCTTGTGTCACTTGTCAGACTTGTGGAGTTGTGAGTCTCGGTTTCTGCCTTCTAAACACTGCATTGGTGATGGGGAGTGTTGGGGGGATCGGGGTGGGGGCAGTTGTTTGTCAGTCCTCCTGCAGAGACCAGGCCATGGGGTGACTACAAATGCACTTTTACTTCTTGTGATCCCCTTCTGATCTTGATTGTTCAGTGTTTTGTCTGCGAGGTTGGAGAAATGGCTGCAACTCATGTTAATGTGGCACCCACGTCAGAGGGGTACAGATCCTACATATGGACCCAACGGGTGTTTCAAAGCTCTGGATGACATTTTGAACTTGAAGGTGAGCAATGGGTCTGTATTATCCTGAAATATTTTTCAGAGAGCAGCTGCCTGTAGCCCATGAGAGAAGATGCTTGAGTCAGAGACCTAGGAGGGGGAGTGGCACAGAAACTCATGGAGCTGCCTCCTGACAGTTAGTGACAGGTGCTTTCCTGTTGCTTCTTTGAGGACAAATACTCCCTGAGCTGGTTGGGAGTAGCAAATAGCTTCTCTGTGTGCTTAGTTCCATGGTCAGGTGTAGGATTCTGCAGCTTAAGCTGTTTAATTGCCATATGGCCTCCCCTCCACTCGATGGAGGACAAGGACTTTGGCATAATGTTGTGAAGCATCTGCAGAGTGACTTCCTGAGCCCACCAAGTGCTCTGAACAGTTTATTGGTGGCCAGTTTCTCAGTCCTGCACTCTCTGCTCAAACATGACCAATGTTTCTTCAGCCTTTCTCATACCATGCTGCTCTTGCAGTTGCTTCATGTTTTGAACATGGTTACGGGAACTGTGCACACCTACCCTGTGACAGAGGAGGAGACTCTGGAGAGTGTGAAGGCCAGGATCCAGGCAGACACAGGAATCCCAGAACAGGACCAGGAGCTACTGCAGGAAGCAGGACTTGCGTTGTTTTCTCAGAAGCTGGTCACTAAACATATAGCTGATAGCAAGGTGAGTCTGGGTACTCCTTTTCTTGTTGTTGAGTGAATCAGCAGGCACTGCTCTTCCTTTGGGATCACAGCACTCCCTGCTGTTGTGGCAGGCTTCTGTCACAGTAACCACACAGCCCTTGCCTCTGGTGTTCTCTGTTTGGCTGAGGAGGAATGTTCTGGTTACAGTGTTAATGAGGCTTGGTTTTTCAGAGGGAATTGAGTTGGGTCTTTTTTCTTCCACAGGTGAACGATACTGCAGCTGCAGACACAGACCTCCTGTTCCTCTTTGACAACAAGAAAGTTCTGTACGAGGCTCAGGTGGCCTTGCGTCCTCATCCCGAAAGTGTTGACTGCATCCGTAAGGACTTTCTCTAACGTGAACATGAGAGGGGACCTGGGTTCTGTGGTCTGCACCATGTGCAAAGAGCAGAGAGCTTTTGCACACTGGGATTGAAGCAGCAGTAAAAGGGACTGGCGTAGCTTTCGTGCAGTTTGTCAGAATAACTGAGAAAAGTGTTTGATTTTGATACGGGGGGAACTGGGCAGAGCTTGGCCAGCTCTGAGCTTTGCAGGAGGTAACAGGCCCCTCAAAGGAGTAATGTTTGAGACTCTTTTGTCATGTGATAACACTACTCTTAGGCTTCATGTTGATATGTACGTTTGTCTTTCCCTCCCTCCCCCCTCTGTTTCTAGTTCAGGATCCAAAGAAGAATCTCCACTTCTTCCAGCTGCGCAGAGTGTGGGGTCAGATCTGGCACACGATCCGGGTGCTGAAGGAGGACTGTAACCGGCTGCAGCAGGGGCAGCGAGCAGCCATGTACGGGGCAGCTTCTCTAGGACACTCATCTCTCTGCTCTGGGGAAAGGGAAGGGACAGAAATGGCACCCTGCTGGAATGGGCAGCTGTAAACTATTAATGGCCCTCTGGCACAGCTGCATTTGTCCTCAGTGGCACGCTCTGGAGCTGTGCGTTGCTCTAAGGGGAAGCCTGCATTTTCAGTCTGGGAGGCTGACAGCACCTTCTTGTCCGTGCAGGATGAATCTGCTGCGTTACAACAGCACCCTCTCCAAGATGAAGAATTCCATGGCCTCCCTCTCTCAGCAGCTGAAAGCAAAGCTGGACTTCTTTAAAACAAGCATCCAGATCGATCTGGAAAAGTATAAAGAGCAGATTGAATTTGGAATTAGTGAGTACAGCATCTGGAAAACGTGCCTCTTATTCCCACAAAATACCTCCCTCTTCATCTATGAACCTGAGAAATCCAATCTCTCTTCTTTCATTCCTGTAGCTTCTGAGAAGCTGCTGTTTGCCTGGAAAGAGATGGAACAAGCTGTGGAACTTTGTGGGCGGGTATGTTTCTAAATAACTGCTTATCCTAAAGAAAAAGGATATTTATAATTTTATTTTTTGCCAAAAAAGTTGTCTTATCCAAGACCATAAACCTAATTTCTTTGAACTGAAGTGACTCCTGTTCTACCTTGCCTTTGGCCAAGGCTGCTGTTTGCATCCTGCTGATGTTCTGCCCTGCTTTCAGGAGGATGATGTGGATCAGCTGGTGAAGAGGATGATGGCCCTGCAGACAGACATTGTAGACCTGCAGAGAAGCCCCCTAGGTCGTAAACAAGGAGGAACACTGGAGGATTTGTGAGTTGAACTACCTGGAACTTCAGATGCAAGACTATTTTTAGCTAAACTGACCCAGCATAGGACAATGAAAGGGCTCTTTCTTCTGCCCAAATTATGGGGGACTGGGAGGACTTCAACACTAAAGGCAATTTTTGACTCACCTGTCACTGGTCTGAAATGGCAGACTGGTAAAGAAATTATTCAACTTGTCAAACTATTTGTTCTTAATTTTGGTTTCTGAGAAGTCATTTGTTTTCTCTGCCTTTTTCTTCTAGAGAAGAACAAGCCAGAGAGCTGTACCGGAGACTGAGAGAGAAGCCAAGAGGTAAAAGACATTTTAGCTCAAGGTCAGCTTGCTTTGTGTGGATGGTAACTTTGGAGATGTAGCAGTGACCACTGAGGAAACTTTCTCTGCATTCTAGGCCTGCCCACACATTAGCTACACGTGGACTCTACTGGACCTACCTTCTTTTGGAGAGGGAAGTCAGGGAGTCCGTTTTACACTAGGCCAGCCTTGCTTTCTTGGCACCTTGTGAGCTCTTCCTGAACCTCCTCTGGAGCTCTGCTCAGAGCAGGCTGTTGACACAAGCATCTACTGCTGCTTCTGTGTAGGAAGGGTGAAAGATGTGGCTGTTCTTTGAGCAGCTATACAACCCCAGCTCTGCTTTCCAGTTCTTAGACCTTTGAAGAGGGTGGCTAAAATCCAGTGCAGTTCATCCCACTCAGACTTGCATGCCCTGAATTTGGGATGTTTCAGGGCTGAAGCAGCAGTGGAAACAAGCCACAAAGAATGCTCTCCCTCTGTCCTGTGAGCCTTCCTTTCTGTGTAACACTCTGACTCTTGTTCCAGATCAGAGGACAAGCGGTGACAGCCAGGAAATAGTCCGACTGCTCCTGCAGGCAATCCAGACCTTTGAAAAGAAAGTTCGAGTCATTTATGCTCAGCTCAGGTGAGCTTTGTAGATTTTATTGAGGGTTGAGAGAAAGCATCTCCTCTTTCAGCAGAATGTTTATAACCCAGTGCACGCAGGGAATGGGATCTCGCAATGCTACAGGGAATAAATAACTGCAGAAACGTTTCCCTGCTGCAGTGGCCCATGTGTGACCTGATCCATTTTTACTTTTTTAACAGTAAAACTGTAGTTTGCAAGCAGAAGGCATTGGAGTTGTTCCCCAGAGTGGAGAAGGTGATGGATCTGATGCGTGAAGATGAGGAAACCGTTGTTAGGCTTCAGGAGAAACGGCAAAAAGAACTGTGGAACTTGCTGAAAATTGCTTGTGTAAGTAAAATAAAAACTCCACTTTAACCTGGAAATATGGTTTGTAGCACAGATTAGTGAAATAATAGTAAATTGAGTATGTCCTATGGTTCTTTTGTTATTTTGAAGTAGTGTTAAAGCCAAGTTCCAGGTTATCTCATACTCCTGTCTGCTGAAAACTAGTGGAAATAACTGCAGTCTGAATATTCTGTGTTTTCTGCAGAGTAAAGTCCGTGGTCCTGTCACTGGCAGTCCAGAGAGCATGAACACATCTCGTCTTGGTGGGCCTGGTCATCTGCTGCTGCAGGTCCCTTCTGAAACCTACAATTTATCAGAATCTGTAAGAAAAAGGTGAGGCAAGTCTGGAGTTCTGTAGCTGCTACTGCCAGCACTCCAAAGCTGCTCTGTGAAATAATGGCACACAAGTTTCTCACATTTTACACTCTGTGTGCAGATTTCACTGTCAGCAGTCTTGGTTTACCTCGTGGTTAGACTTTCTGGGGCTTGCAGATATTCCATACAAAAAATGGGGAATACAGAGCTTCACTTCCCTCTGCCTCCATAATAAAGGGTTTGGTTTTTTTTTTCTTGAATCCAACTTGGAACACATTTCCTTGCCCCTGTCCCATAAATTGGGGGATGCCATCAACCTTCCCAGTTGCAGTATGAATTATGAATGGCCTGACTGCCTTCAGTGTCTGCAGCATACCTGCCAGAAATATTTCAGAGGTAGAGGTAGTTTCTCTGTAAATAGAAAATAACAGTGTAATAATTGTCCCTTTCAGTGAGGAGCTGCTGCTGGAATCACAGAAACTTTGTAGCCAGCTAGAAAATGTGATGTATGACACAATGAAGGATCAGGAGCAGAGCTTCATGGTAATGTACTCATTCTTCTAGAAATAGACTGGGGAGGCTCATGGCTTCAAAGTTCTGCTTGTGTAGCTTTGCCACCACTCAGTAACAGGAGCTAATTGAAATCTGGGATTTACTCTTGTACAAAGAGAACAGGAGCTGTGGAGACAGGAAGCACCTGCTCCCCCAGGAACTGCTGCTGACAGCCCTGCCCTGGGGACTGGTGAACAATAAAGGAGGGGGGAGCTCCTTGGCTGTCGTATCAAAATACTGCAAAATTGCACTTAAATCTGGTGGCAATACAGGGAGGGGGACAGGGATGCTTAATGATGCAGAATATTTAAAAGAGAGCAAAATATTAGAGAAATAAGTAACTCAAGGCTTTCCTTTACAGCAGTCACATGGCTTATTTTGAAACTCTGCTGACCAACTTGTTCACAGTAAATTTTTTTAATTCTCTTAACTTGCTTCTCCTTTACTCTAGCAAAGGCTCAACTGTAAGCTGCTGTTGAACTTTGCAGTTCTGTTTATTCTTCAGGCTCTAGACTGGAGCTGGCTGCAGCTTCAGGCAGAAGAAACAAACAGTCCAGAACAAACCCAGATGTAAAATCACGTTGGTCACCCCTGAAGACGCTACTTTGGGAAGCCAAGTGTGAAAAGCTGCTGCCCTGAGAAGGGAAGATCAACTGCCTCCTTCTACTGTCACCTGCTGCTTCTGTGATACACACACATGGCCTAGCTTTAGTATCCACCTCCCAGACACTCTGCTCTCAAAGATACAGTAGGGAATGCCTGTTCTAACTGTCTGGAAAATGTTCTTAATTGTGCCTTAAGACAGCAGATATCCTCTGTCCTGATATATCTTCCCTTAGGCATCACCTGTGGCTGTTCTACTGCATTTTAGGCTATCTACTGGAACAATGGACAATGCATGCCCAGGCACTGGTAGATGTCACCTTTGTAATATACTTGAACTGTGAACTTCATTTCTTAACTCTGCTGATTTGCACTTTTTTTCTTTTAAGTGTAATGGTTGTACTTACCTAATACTTGTTTCCTGTATGGGAACGAAATGATCTAAAACATGTAAACTTTTGGTTTGCTCTTTTTGATACCATCAATAACATTTTAATGGAAAAAGCTGCTTTCACTGTGCAGGTCTCTAAAACATGAGAGGTGTAAGGATGTTATCCTAGAAACCCCAAGAGAAGGAAATGCTCAGTGTACAGGTACAGTGTGACAAAGCATTGGCAGATTATCTATTAGCCATGCTTAAAGAACAGCCAGGTGGAACACAGCTTTTCTGAACCTTGCTAAGTCAAGACACACCAACCTTCTGTTCCGACTCGGACCAATTTATTTCATTCTGATGTAATCCCAAATTTCCACTACAGCACAGAGACCACCTTTTATAAAAGGCTGTGGAGTACAGGACATGCAAAATGCAATACAATAAGGGGGAGAGGTTGGATTTTCTTCTGTTTTTTAGGAACAGATTTAAAATACAGGAAACTGAAATGTGGCACAAACATCACAACTTCCATGCATGCCTTCAAGTGTCTTCCTCTGTTGTGCTGGCACTCTCTGGACCTTCAGCAGTGGGTTAAAGTCGTTCTTTGGAAGAGCAGAAAGTTCACACTTCTTCAAATTTCAGAGTATATTAAGGCCGAAACACACTGGGTATACTTTTCCTTCATCTTCCAGAGCACCACCAGTTGTTTTACTCACAGCTGTGTTAAGCTTCCAGCTCAAATCCCAGCCCAACTTTGTGACCTCCAGCATTGAAATTCTTGCCATCAATCAAGCCTGAGACGGTCAGTTTAACACCTATGAAAGCAATCACGAGACCCATCACACTCTGAGCCCCTGGACAGTGCCCTCCCTCAGGCACCTGACCCCACCACTGTCTGTGTACACAACCTCCTACAGCAACAGACATCCTTTCCTTCTGTGAGCCTGGAAAACTGAGCTCATTTGTTCATCTGTTTTGTTCTAAAGATGACAGTGAAGTAACCCACAGTGTAGTATTTAATACTATTTGCTGCTCCCAGTGAGACTTACGTACCAGGTCGGAGGGTGTGAGTGTACCCAAGTCCAATGAGGCTGGCATTGTTCACTTTACCCTGCAGGAAAAAGGAAATCACAGTATTTATACCCTGTGCATAAATATCCAGCATTGTCCCAGTGCCCTGAGAAGGTGGCTTATGCCTTAACTCTCTTCAGCTACTTGTAGAGTAACCTCTGGTAGAAGCACGTTCCAATCTTTTCTTAGGAGTTTCCAGCCTAAGCAATCTTTTCCTCAGATGGTGACCCCATTATGCCCACAGTGCCACCCTGTTCTTCACTGCCCCCAACACTGTGTCTTCATATCCTTTTAAGAGCTTGCTACAGTCCCTCAGAGCCAAAGAGGTCTGTCTTGTTCACATCACTCAGGAGTGACTTTTTTTCATTTAATGAGCAATAAATATATGAATATGCAAACCCCTTTTTTGCATTAACTAAGTTTTGAGCTGTTTACAATAGTATTTCTCATCTTTAATTTTGGCTGAATTGTCCTGGAATTAAGTCTTGTTTTGAAACAAAACAAATGTTTGTTTTAACACTAAAAGTAAAGCAGCACACTGATCTCATCTGTCAGCTGACTTTCTAGGGTCAACTTAGAAAGCTGAACTTCCACCATGGTAACTGAAATACTGTTTTACATTATGGATTAGAGAATTAAAAGAACACACATCTTGCAGAGCTCCAAACATACTACTCAGACTATTTCACTGTGGACAAAACTACAGTTTAGATTTATTTTTTTTCCTAATTTCACAGGTATAACCTGTGAGGTCCCAATTTACATTTGAACCACAGCAAAAGCCACAGTTTGACCTCTGCCATATCCCTCAGTAACTAGTCAAAGCAACTACTTCCTAACACAGATTTTCAGTATTTGTGGGAGCTTGAAATACTCATTTAACAAAGTTCTTACCACAACAGAAGTCTTGTCGTCCAGCTGGTACTTTGCAGCAATACCAAAACGTGTGTTGTTACTGCCAGCAGTCCATGCAAGATTGACTGATGTCTCAACCTTATTATTAACCTTCTGATAAATAGACCCACCGAACTCGGTGCCATCATTCCTGTTTGTAACAGATGCAAGTGTGTCAGGCCCTGCCTTGTTCAGTAACTCTTTAGATCAGCCCTTCCCCATAACCATAATGAACAAGACTTTCCAGCAGCTGAGACCCACATTTTGAGGTTCTGACAGAAAAAATAAACCCAGATAACCTGGTTGCTTGTCTCAGGTTAAGCCAACCCGTGGTAACACACAGAGGGACAAATGCAGGAGACTTCAGTTATGGCAGTGATGAGACTGAGAACAACGTTACTGCAGTGCAGTTGTTTAAATACACCATCTTCAAAGACTCAAGAGCATCTCAGTGCCCAGGTAAGAGCTACAAGCAATGACAGTGGGAAACACTCAAGCACAGCACAGCAGAGGCCTCTCCCCTTCACCTTGGGCATTTCTGAGGGGACAGACATGGTGGGGAGGGGGAGAAGGTACAGGAGTTTAACTGAAGAACTTTTACAGAAGTTAAAAGTTCATGGATTTTAATTCCAAATTAACACTTATAAAGTGCCTCTACATCACTATCCTACATACACAAACCCCCAAATTACCCTGAGACAAGCTACCAAGGCAGCCAAGAGTTGGAAAGTTGCCGTGTTATAGCAGAACTGAAAACACTGCATACAAATTATTTGGAAACAAATTAGCATCCCCTTCCATCCACCTACCTTTGACCTAAGTCCACTAATGCAACTATTCCTACAGTCTGGCTCCTCTGGTAATGTTTTTCTAGGCTCAGATAATACTTACACATTAGTGTGCAGCTGAAAGTCTCCTGCCTTATATCCCAAGGCAAAGTTATTTTGTGAAAGCTTATACTTGGCTGTATCAAAAGCCATCTGGTAGCCAGCGAGCCAGCCTTCATAGCCCAGCACCGCCCAGCCATAAACGGTTGGCCCAGCGAGATCAATGTCTATGTTGCAGCCTACATTTATATATTCTCTTTTGTAGGAGGTCTTCAACTTTGCACTCTTCTTCCTGCAGGGAGAAACAAGCTGTTTTACCCGTGGGGCTGTACAGGTGTGTCTGGTACGTAGTTTATTCAGCTATGTCCCCTAAGGCCAGTTAATGAAATGACTGTAATGCCTACTCAGAACTCCACCAGGGCACAGGATAAGGACAATGTTGGCATTATGTATATTCACATGGTGCTATTTCCCCTCTACCCAGTTCTCAAACTCCTTACAATCCTCAAGGAGCAAAAAGGACAAAAACGTTTCTGCTTGTTGCTCTAAACCCCCTAGGGTTTCAAATGTCATTCTACACAGGTGAGTGTGATGAGTTATGGCATCATCAGTCTCTTCCAGGAGTTGTTTAAGTGGAGTTAGAGATCTAGTACCTACTGCAAAACAACAGATTTGCCACTGGTCAAAACCCTTTTTGCACACCTTGTCCTTCTGAGTCCACTATTATCCACTGCCTGCAGAATATTCTCCAGTAAGTGTTGAGCATTTACACAATGACCACAATAAGCACTTCTAAAGTTATGGGAAATTCTAGCCCTCCTTAGACAAAGGCAGTAGAAAGTATTTACCCTGTGTTCGGTACAAATGTAGTGTCAAGAGCCACCTTCAATCCTCCAGCCAACTGCAAAGAGAAACCAAGACATCTGCTCAGAATTCTGCTGAAACATGATCTGTGACACTCACTACTGGAACTCTGCTTCCCGTCCAAAGAGAAAACAAAACACGACCGTGTGTTTAAATCCCTCATCCTACAGCATCTTCAGATGTCCCTGAAAACATGAATGGCCATACAGGGCAGAGGGCACCACAGAACTTTTACTATCTTTGGCACCATTACCTTGTACTTCAGGCATTAAGTGTAAGGCATAAACCTATTAAACTGAAGAAGAACTCTGTGTTTTTAGAGTGCTGTACCCTGCCAACCCTTCCTGTAAGCAGTGCCAAGCTGCAAATACACATCTTTCTCTTCGACCTTACAAAACATACTCAATCTCAAGGCAGCCAAACTTAAGTCCTTGTGTATTAAAGCATTTAAAATTATGACAGTCCTCTTTGTTTTCCCTGCATGACTGCAGCAGTGACAGTTCTACACAGCTCATGGGTAACAGTTTGGTTCATTCAACTGGGCAAGTAATTCCACAGGGCTGTGACTACAGGAATTCCATCCCCCTGGATCATTCTGCTGGAATCCAGCACCCCACACCCCCAGCCTGAGTGTTCTCACTTCTTGTAGTACTCCAGATAGTTTTGTGCAGCTTTCACTCTCCAATGTTTTCTGTTCAAGACTTTCTCATACCAGTTGCAGAAACATTTTCAAAGTATCTCCTTCCTCTTACCTGATCCTCCACAGCAACTTCTGTTCCCAACGTGTTATCTGTGTTCCACTTCTGGGTGAACGTCAGTCCGTGCTCTTTCATCTTGTACTTGGTCTCTAGACTGCCCGAAGCCTTGCCCGTGTCCGTGTTGGAAGAGCCAGTTGCAGTGAAGTCCTGACAAGAGCATAATACGAGTTTCAGTTCTCCTGATGTTCAGTTACATTCAGTTTTTCAACTTGTTGAGTCCAGCACTCACAACTGTTACCCCCAGGCTTTTTGACAGAACCCTCAAAATCCTCCTCCTCCCCTTCCCTATCCCCACCTAAAATAATTATCTTTGCCTCACAAAAGGCTGCTGCTTTTGGCATCTCTGTTCTGAGTATTTTACTGAGGTGTGTCCTGTAACATGCTCTGTATGTATTCTGTAACATCAGAGCTTCCTGTTATTTAGGGGACTTCAAGTGTCAATAAACATCTCTCCTCCTGGAATAACTGAGTTTCGAGCACAACCCAGTATCAAGCAGTGAGCAGGAATATTGCCACAGTAGTAAGCTCAAGGTTCAGGAATTAATTTTTAAGAAGCATCTCAGAACAGCCCTCATTTGTCATCCCCATCTCTCAAATATTTTCCTTGAGAGAAGATAAATAACCTGTCATTACATTTCCAAGTTATGTCTCTCTTGAAGTTTAAATATTGAAAAATACAGTGCTTAAGAGATGGCAGTACCCATTTCCAATATATCCAAGCTTTGGAACCCTGACTTTCCAGATCCTTGTCATTCCAGGACTATTCCTGGATGCTGTGTACATTACTTTCACAATTCTGGACTTTGCAGAGCGTACAAAGACACAAAGACTGACTGTAAATGGTTTGGAAGTGCCAGGTAACATCCTCACACACAGTCTGGGGCGGTGGGGAACGTTGCAGGGAGAGCTACTCAAGCTAATGCACTGCTACAAGAGCCCAGTAGTTCTACAACACATCTAGCCAGCTAACAAAGACACGTGACACAAGTCAGGATGTGTTGGACTGTCCTTCAGGCGTCACTGCTACACCGTGTTCTGATGTGGCCTCCACCAAGTCAGTGTAAGGACATCTCGAACCGGCCTCAGAACTCAGGAGGAACTCTCTTCTGGTCTCAGAGCAGGTAACCGATTAAAAAATGCTTGGCTGGTTTCTCAGATCAAGAAAAGGAAGGTTGTAAACACTTGTCTCAAAGCCAAAGGCAAAAAACCTGCACTGTCACATGATCAAAAGCCAAAGCATTTTGTGAGGTGTCAAGAACTGAAGCTGGTCTGGAAGCAGAAGGCACAGAGCTGACATCTGCTGCCATCAATCTCTGTCCGTGTCACCAGAGCTCTCCCAGACCAGCCCGTGCAGAAGCATTTCTGGAATTTTTTGTAGCTGAAAAATCAAACTCATTCTGGCTCCGTGTCACGCCCGTCTGGGTCAGCAGCCAAGCACAGCTTCCCACTGCCCTTCCAGTTTGTGGTGGCACCTTCAGCAATGCCATGCATTAGCAGGCAAAACCACTTGCAATCTCTGAAACAATTACAACCAACAGACACCATCGCTGCTGTTTTCCAAGTCCACAGAAAACATCCAAACGTTTCTGTATCACAACAACCAGAGCTACTATCGGTACCCACGTAGGAATTAGATCTCACACTCTGTTCCCTACCTCAGCTCCACCCCCAAATACCCGCTCTGCTGCAGCAGAAGGCTCATCAGAAACACTAACAAGCACAACAGGTGAAGCAGCAGACAACTATATCAATACCACATCTACCCTGTTTTCCCCCTGCTGTTCTTAGGGTGTTCTTATTGTGGATTGTTGGGCAAAGATTGCAAATGGCTTTACATGCATGGATGACACAGCAGATTTAGAGCTCTGGACACAAACAGCACGACGTGGATGGCAACAGGACTAAACCCAATGGAATGGTTCACAAACAACACTATGCACCACAGAAAACAAGGAAGACAAAGCGATAAAGAGCCAGCATGCCAAAACAGTCACTATTCTTACCAGCTGGATAAACATCCAGTGAAAATCACATGGAAAAGAAAAAGCCCATTTTAGAACTCACTACAGTTGTTCATGTTCCATCACACAGCGTAATTAACTATTTGCATATTTTTTATCTGAGAATCAAAACTTCCAGCCAGGAGAACTGCATATCAATATGAGATGTCAGTAAGTGGGGGCAGCTGCACATGGCGTGGAGATACAGAGACCACACACCCACGTGTGCTGGTGCACAGTGCAAGGAACCCATCGAAAGCACAACTGAGACAGAGTACAGCAGTACAGAAATAAGGACTTACCCCACTTGCATGATAAGAATGCAAGAGAAGGAGGGAGGAGCTAAGGCAAATATGTTTATGAAGGAGGCTGAAAAGCAGCACCATCTTATCAATCAGAAGAGCATCAAGTGAGAGCATGCACAGAACTGAGAGTCAGTGTAAGAAAAATATTATTTAGTAAACAACATTTGCCTGTGGTTAAAGATCGAAATTATGAAGCCCATCCCTGGTTTTGCCTCCTGTGAAATTGTGAGGAAGCTCCACTTCTCCATCATTACAGTGTGGATCATAACATCTTCTAGTTACTTGAAGTGCTAAAGTTTAATTAGGCCCTCAAATTCTACGTAAAAGGTACTGCAGAAGGACTGTTTAGTTTTAATTAAGTCTTGAAGTGTAACCACAGTGAAAATGAAGTTAAGTTAAACTGTGGTGCTTATTTGCCGCTTGGCCTTCTGGATAAAAGTCCTTCCAGACTCAAACACCTGCCAGCAGTTGCTGCCACCAACCATCTCAGGGATCTGTCCTTTCACTGCCATGCCAGTGATGTGGAAGGCCCCCAGTACTTACCACCCCACTGGTAGACTTGGTCTTCAACTCCAACTTGACCATTCCAAATCCTGAAAACAGAACAGCACACAGGGCCTGTTTTACCCCAGAACACAAGCAAGGCTTGTTTCCAGCATATCCAAAGCACCACAGGCAGGGTACACTGAGCTAAAACAGCCTATTTTCATGTTTCAACAGTTGATTGTACTGAGGAATGACTGAAAGAATTTTGACAATTCAAAGTCTCATAATTTATAGTGATAACAGACACCAATCATCAAGTATTTCCATCTTCTGTAGCTGCCTGCAGGCGGGGACCCATCAATATATTTACCATTTCTGCTGATTTACTCAATTTACTTCTATAGTTCTGACTGCAGAACAGGAAATTTTTCTTTTTAATTTTAGGTAGCATATGGATTTGGGATACAAATGCAATCTTTATCACACACAAAATCAGACTAAAAAAACATCAACACTGTTAGTACTGTTCCCAAAAAGGGACAAATGCAAATATTGTGGCAATATCTTCTCCACCTGTAACAGGAGGCTGTTCTGATTAACAGAAAGGTCACTTTACCTCAGGAACCTGATCATTGCCACATAAGGCCTCCTATGGCAACCTGCATCACTGTCACTGATTTAATGCCTCTAAATACAAAAATTGGAAGGTAAAGGGTGGAGCATTTTTCAGAGACTGCTCTGGAGTGCATCTTAAGGTCAAACTCCTGACTTTCCCCTCTAACTCTTTGCCACTGCAGCATTCTCATGATACATGCCCAAAGCTCAGATTCAGAAGGTGCCACGTGCTCCAAGCCTCTGCTAAATTCCTACCACAAGCTCTTAGGGGGTCTCTGAGGTACTAATGTTTTTCTGGCATTTTCAAGATGCCTAAGAAAAAGATATGAAAGGTTATCAAACCACAATCCTGTCACTTACCATAGCCCTTGTTGAACACATCCCTGGCAGACTTTCCCAAGTCACTGTACGACGGTGGTACAGCCATTGGACCTGAAACACACGGGAAGCTGTAAGAATCCTAGGTGTAACAGCATCAAACCTGAACTACGTCCAAAGCATTTATAAATCTATGCCCAGCAGCCTCTGAGGACTCCACTGACAGGGAACTGTCACAAGCCCTCCTTGCGTCACTTGCTGTGTCAGAAACAAGTTCCAATCCAAGCAAGTTCCCAAAGCCAACCCATTAGTTGGAAACACTGAGCCCAGGCATTACATCCACCAATGTCAGCCTCACATTCTTCAGTGGCAAAAAGAGCCTTATCACTATTCTGATAACAAGCAAACACTGCTTTCCTGGCAGGACCCTCTCTGAAAAGGACCCCAAAGGGCAAAGCAAGGTCAGGACTGAGCAATCCCAAAGGAAAACAGATCTCACTTCCACCTGCACTTGTGACTTCTTAGAAAGCTTTTTCAGAGATGTGCAAGAACAGAGATCTCTGCACATTGCCCAGTAACCATCAGGATCTCTGTACTGTGCACACAGCAGCAAAACCTGCATTTCCTAATACAGGTCCCTGGGACAACCACTCTGGAGGGCAAAACTCAAAAGGACAGGCACATGACATAAAGGACAGCTCACATGATATATTTTACCTTAGTCACCACAATTCAGGGATTTTGCATCAGAAAATCCACAATAAAATGTAGTGTTTCACAACTCTTAACCCTGAATTTGGTCTCCATCAGCCGGACGCGATGACAACGGCCCGCAAAAGGCGGTGCAAAGCGGGCAAGGACACACACGAGGCTGAGGAGTAACTGGAAAAACCCCACAACGTGCACAAGGTACAGAAGCACCCTCGGGCGGCCGCGCCGGTGCCGGTGCCGGGGGCGCGGCGGGGCCCGGCCCGTGACCGCCCTCACGCCCCTTTCGGCGGCGGCCCCGGGGGCGCGAGCGCCGCCCCCGCCCCGGCGCTGCCGCGTTACGCAACCGGTAACGGCTCCGGGCCCTGCCCGCGCCCCCGGCCCGGCCCTCCCGGCCGGGACAACCGCCGGCCGGACCCCGCTCCCGGACCGCAGGGACGGGCCCACCCCGGGCGGCGCTGAGGGCGGGCGGGGCCCTCGGGATCGAGCGGCCCGCGGCCCCTCCGCAAGGTGACTCGGGGGACGCTCGGGGGACGCCCCGGGAGGCCCGCGGGACACCGCCGGACCCGGCCGGACAGCGCCGCGGGGCGCGGCCCGCCCTCGCCCCGTCCCCGGTGGCGGCCCCGGCCCCGGCCCCGCCGGTACCTGCCGCCCGCGCTGCTCCGGTGCGGCTCTCCGCGCCCCTGCGCATGCGCGGGGCCGCCGCTGCGCACGCGCCCGGCCCCGGCCCCGGCCCCGCCCCGCGCGCGCCCCCCGGCCCCGAGCGCCGCCCCCCGGTCCCCTCACAGAGCCGGGCGGCTCCGACCGGACCGGCCACGAACGTGCGCCGGGACACGGGCCGGGGCGCTCCGGGAGCCCAGGGGGCTTTTCCAGCCTCAGCGATTCCGTGGTTCTGTGATTCTGTGAACTGCGGCTCACAAAGCCCTCGGGAAGCGCCGCCAAGGCCCCAGGTGGAGGAAGGGACCTTGGCAAACCCTCCCAGGGTGGCGCGGGCAGCGGGGGTGACACAGCCCCTGGCAGCGGGCACGGCAGGGCTGTGTGTGCCCGGCCAGGAGCACAGACTGCCCCCAGCTCACAGCTGTACCAGCCATCTGCAGGCCAGTGAAGCTCAGAGAACACCTAGTGAAGTGGGGAGTGGGGAGAGAAAAGAAGAAAATGAAGGACACGCTGTATATGTAGTTCAAGGAAAATAAACAAGCAAGCACTCTGAACAAGCCTTTTTTTTTTTTGCACATAGAAGAATTCACAGTGTTACGGAGAGAGACTGCAAAGCCAGCGAGTTCTGCCTCGAGGCCCAGGACAAAGTTGGGCCGCCTGTGGAAGAGGACGGAGATGCATCAGTGTAATGCTGTGTGCTGCCCACGAGACACCTGTCAGCATGGGAAACCTGTGCTACCGCTTCTTGATCTCTTAAAATTATAGCTAATAAATAATAACAAAACCGGATTACACATTCATGACAGAATATTCAATTTGTTTATTCCCACTGATCACTGAAGAAAATACTAAATATATCAGCTATATATATATTTTTACCATGAGGCATCAGAAGACTTCGCATAGTACCAAGTTAACTTCTAGTTACCTTACATACCACTGCATGCATTACTGCTGGGGAACATTCCCAGAAAATAATAAAAACTCCCAATATGAAAAAGAGAAGAAAATAAAGACACAACCAAGAGTACCAGCCTATAATCTCCATCACTAAGACTGATCAACACTCATTGTATAAGAACAAGTAAAAATGTAGTTGTTCTGTAAGCTTAAGTCAGATAAAAATAAGAAATAGTATTACATCCATCTTTGTTTTATGATTCAGGTCAGGTTAAGTAGTCTGACAATAAAGAATCTTTGTCCCAAATACAACTATTAATGCATTCTTGATGAGACCTCCTCTCACATCCAAACCAGCCCATACCTTCCCCAACAATTAAGGAGGAGGTATAAAACAAGATCTGACACGTTTGCACATAAAAAAGGGCAGACTGAACCTACAGGAATGGTGGAAATGCATCAATTCATCAGACCAAGATGAAGAAAGTGAACAAAATACAGAGCACTGCAATGGACAGGACTGCAAGACCCCTGATAACAAAAGCCAGTCACACGCAGCAGGAGAGTGGTCACATCAGAGTACAGCCCATACTGGAAGGGTTTAGAAGGAGACTGCTCATCACGAGCTTCAAGACGCTTAACACAGAGCTAAGGAGATATAAATAGCAGTGGGAAATGGTATTCTTTAGGAGTGCATCAGGACACAGCTTTCTCATTCTGTGGCTACACCTACACAAGATACAAAGAGAGGAGCTGGATGCCCCACCCCTGGAAACATTCAAGGTCAGACTGGGCTCCTAAGAAACCTGATTTAGTTGAGGATGTCCCTGCTCACTGCTGGGAGGCTGGACTAGAAGACTAAAAGTCCCTTCCAACCCAAACTATTCCATGACTCTGAAAATGAAATCTTACGGGATTTGATCCTCACTACGCATTCTGTACTAGTGCCATGGACTTGCTTTAAACATCAGTAACACACATTTTTGCAGTAACAACCAAAGTAAGACTTGCACTTCATGTATTCATAAGCTACAAAACATCTCTCCAGGCTACCCAGACAAGCAGTCATTCACTCCGGTCCTTTGGCTCCCGGTACTTCCACTGGATGTAGTCAAAGATGTCTTCTTCACTTTCCACTGGCAGGGCCTCTCCAGCAACTCCTGCAAGTAAATTACAGATGCTATTTGAAAGGGGGAAGATTAAGACAAAACTGCTGTAGGTAAAGCAGACTTAAAAAGCCACCCAAACAACCCTCACTGCCCCCTTGGTCTTTTCATACAGTGTTTAGGTGATTATTCTTATTAGTGTCAAAGGAAATAAGGTAATGAATTAACTTTGGGCCACACGGTTGTGCAGTTAAATATATTTATAGTCGTGTGCATGTGTGTATAGTCACCTCCCCTCCAAAACAAACCAGCTGAAGGACATGGCATATCCTATGAAAAGAGTGGGAAACCCCTTATGTGCTGTGCTTGACACAGAAAAAACAATCTTTACACCAGTAAGACTTTAAGAAGATTAGGTAGCCCAAAGAGGTAACTTTGTGCCACAGCACTGCCTGTACATAAGCAGGCTGCCTCTTCCTGCTGTAATGGTGCCCAACACCAAAAAGGGCACTGCAAGAACAGTGTTTATCAGAGCTGTTTCCAAACCACTGCACCTGCCCTGAGAAGGGATCACCCAAAGCAAGGGAGCAGGAGGAACGCTCTGTCACTGACCAGTGACACCCAGGCGGCGGATCGTGTACTCGTTGATGGTGAAGCCCATTTC